TGCTAAGGGGTCAGGGCTTCCCCTGCCATCCTCACCCCCCTGCCATAGCCTGGTACCCTTGGGCTGCCCAAAGCCAGGAATGGGGCAGTTGGGCTTGGCTGAGCTGATGGTGAGCAGCAGCCAGGTGTGCTGAGGTTTTGGGGAGGGCTGGGGGCAGTGCAGCAGCAGCTCTGTGGGTGCAGTGTGTGTGCAGTACCACGGGGTGCTGCTGCCGTGCCACCGGATCAGAGGCTGGCATCGCATCCCAAAATCCTCCTCGTGGAGCATCCCTGCCTTCCCCAGCCTGGGAACACAGACAGGGGCTGCTCTAGGGCTGTGGGATGTGGGGAAGGGGTCTGCAGTGCTGTGAGATGTGGTTTTGCCTGTGGGATGTGGAGAAGGAAAGTTCTTGGCTATGGGATGTAGAAAAGAGGCTTTCGGTGCTGTGGGATGTTGAGTGCTTTGGGATGTGCAGAGGGGATGTCCCTTGCTGTGGGACATAGAAAAAGGATGTTCCTTGCTGTGGGACATAGAAAAAGGATGTTCCTTGCTGTGGGACATGCAGAAGGGATGTTCATTGCTGGGGGATGTGGATCATGGCTCTGGGATGTGGGGAGCAGGTGTTCCTGGCTGTGGGATATGGGGAAGAGATGCTGATAGATGTAGACCTAGGACATGGAAAAGGGGTGTTCCTGGCTATGGCATGTGAAGAAGAGGTAATTATTTCTGTGGGATGTAGATCATGGCTCTGGGACATGGGGAAGTGATGTTCCTTGCTATGGGACATGGAAAAGGGGTGTTCATTGCTGGGTGATGTGGATCATGGCTCTGGGATGTGGGAAACAGGTGTTGCTGGTTGTGGGATGGGGATCATGGCTGTGGGATGTGGATAAGAGCTGTTCCTGGCTGTGGGATGTGGGGAAGGGCTGTTCCTGGCTATGGGACATGGGGAAGGGCTGTTCATTGCTGTGGGATGTGGATGATGGCTCTGGGAGGTGAGGAAGGGCTGTTCCTGGCTGTGGGACACGGGTAAGAGCTGTTCCTGGCTATGGGATGTGGGGAAGGGCTGTCCTGGCTGTGGGATGTGAGGAAGGGCTGTTCCTGGCTCTGGGATATGGGGAAGGGCTGTCCTGGCTGTGGGATATGAGGAAGGGCTGTTCTGGCTATGGGATGTAGATAAGAGCTGTTCCTGGCTGTGGGATGTAGGTAAGGGCTGTTCTGGCTGTGGGATGTAAGGAAGGGCTGTTCTGGCTATGGGATGTAAGGAAGGGCTGTTGTGGCTGTGGGATGTAAGGAAGGGCTGTTCTGGCTATGGGATGTAAGGAAGGGCTGTTGTGGCTCTGGGATGTAGGTAAGGGCTGTTGTGGCTATGGGATGTGAGGAAGGGCTGTTGTGGCTGTGGGATGTGAGGAAGGGCTGTTCTGGCTGTGGGACATGGGGAAGGGCTGTTGTGGCTCTGGGATGTAGGTAAGGGCTGTTCTGGCTCTGGGATGTGAGGAAGGGCTGTTCTCCCTATGGGATGTAAGGAAGGGCTGTTCATCACCACGTGCAACACCACAATCCCACCCCTCACCTCCCCACCACCGCTCCCCGTGTGTCCCGCAGGCCTGGGCGACATCACCCAGCAGCTGAACCAGAGCGAGCTGGCCGTGCTCCTGAACCTGCTGCAGAGCCAGACCGACCTGAGCGTGCCCCAGATGGCCCAGCTGCTCAACGTGCACTCCAACCCCGAGATGCAGCAGCAGCTGGAGGCTCTCAACCAGTCCATCACGGCCCTGACCGAGGCCACGGCGCAGCACCACGAGCCCCCAGCGGCGGCGGCGGAGGAAGCGGCGGAGGAGCCGCCGGCAGAGGTGCAGGAGGAGCAGCAGACTCCGGAGGCAGCCAGCGCTCAGGGAGACATGCAGAACGTGCTGGCAGTTCTGCTGAGTCAGCTGATGAAGAGCCAGGAGCCTGGGATAACCCTGGAGGAGAGCAACGGGGAGAAGAGCAGCGAGCAGCGGGGCTCCAGGAAAACCCCGACGAGGCATCCCGAGGAGAGCACAGGTAAATGAGAAACACACCTGGGAGTGTGGGAGCATCCCAGAGGGTGCTGCAGCCAGGAATGAGGGCTTGGAGTGGTGGGAGAGAGGCAGCAGGGGAGTGGATGGGAGGAGGGAAGGGGGTAGGATGTGGTTGGACATCAGGAGGAAAGACCCTGCCTCCCCTCCCTGCGGTAAGTGCTGGACTGCTCAGGAGGTTGAACAGCTCTAAACAGCCCAAACAGGCAAATATTACCCCAAAATCCACGAGTGCTCCACTGGGAGTGGGCCAGTGCAGATGAATTGGAGGTTTTGGGGTTTGCCCAAAGGTGCAAGGGAAGTTTGGCGGGTCAGTTGTTCCTCAGACCCCCCAGCAATAAGTTTGCACATCCAGGGAAGTTTTTTGCACAGGATGCTGCTGCACCTCTGCATTTTTTCCCAGCTCTTTTTCACCATCCCCTCCCTGCCCTCTTGAATAAATAAATAAATAAATAAATAAATAAATAAACCTGCAGAGATGATTTTAAAGAGCTGAAATAATGGTGAGTGCTGAAGGGAGGGATAGTGGCAGCTGTGTGGGTAAAACCTGAGCATCCACAAGTGCCTGGTTCTACCTGGAGCTGATTTTTGAACCAAACGAGTTTAAAACCCCCTGCTTGTGTCAGTGAGTGAGCTCTCGGATTTCCTTTCCAAAGGTGAGTGTAAATGTCTCCATGTCTTTTTTTTTTTTTTTTTTGTTTCTGTTGATTTTTTGAATTTATTAGCAACAGCCTGTGACGACCTCACCAAATTGTAGAAGCGCCTCCTGAGTTTGTCTCAGACTCTCCGGGGAGCCTGTTTTGGCCCGATCCCACCTCCTGCAATGTAGCTGAACGTGCTGTGTTCTCGTGCCTTCAACACCCGCCCACCACGAGCCAGTTGTGATCGTGCTTTTTTTTTTTTTTGCCTTTTTTTTTTCTCCTCTTTTTTTTTTTTTCTTTTTTTTTGTTGTTGTTGTTGCCCTAGTCCTGGAAGATAACTAGGTTACTGTAGAGCAGATGGAATTCGATGCCGTTGTTCTCTGTTGATAATTCTTTGGAATGATTTGCTGTCCCCCAGATCAGCTTGGCTTTACAAATTATACCTGAAGATTGTTTTTGGGGTTTGTTTTTTTTTTTATTTTGTTTTGGGTTTTTTTTCCCCGTTGATGTTTTATTTTTCTGGATTTCAATACAATCTAGTTTTCAAAGTGGACTGACGGATACGGGTGGAGGGGTGGTCCTGGAAGACTACTGGTTTTCACAATAAAGTTTGACCTTTTTAATAACCAGTTTTGCCAATGATTTGAGGATCTGATTCCAACAAGGTGTCCGTGGGCTCTGCCATCGCCAGTAATTCCTTCCCCCGTGGGCGAGGGAGAGGAGGCAGCTCAGGTGTGTTGCTCCAGAAGGAGGCAGGGCTGGTTTTGGGAGTGGAGCAGCTCCGTGGTGTCACCTGCGGCCGTGGTGGTGTCACCTGCGGCCCTGGTGGTGGCACTGCCTCAGGGGAGGGCTCTGCTGCCTCTCCCAGCTCCCAGCCCGGCCCCTTTGTGCTTCCTCAGCCTCGCAGGCTGGGACAGAGCAGGGGGCGCTGAGGGTGACGGAGCTTTCTTCTTCCAGGAAGGAAACAAGCCCTGATTTGGGAGCAAATCGGGGCTGAAGGGGCAGGGGGGAGGAAGCAGAAGGCTTTTCTCGTGCTCAGGACAGTCTGCTCGTGCAAATATTCGGGGGGCCAGCTTGTTTTGGGCTCTGTTGGCAGCAGGGCTGGGGTGGGTGGGTGGGAGGGGCAGGAACGCGTGCCCCGCTGCCCTGGGGGTGCTGAGGGGGCACTCGGGAGCTGGCACTCGGTGCTGGGCTCGGGTTTGTGTCTGTGCAAGGCTGCACATCCCGGCCACGCTGGCCCCGGAGCCGGGCGGTGCCGCTGCCCGCGGGGAGCGCGGGGCTGGCGTGTGGCTCCACATCTGCCTCCTGCTCAAAGGAATTAGCCTTTGATCCGGCAGCGGGAATTCCCTGCACGGCTGCCCAGGTGTTAGGACAGCTGTTGCCGGCGAGCTGGGTGCGCGGGGGCCGGGGCGAAAGCGTTAATGAACATTGTTAATGAACGTTGATCTCCCAGCCAGCCAGTTCAAACTCTTCCTTCCCTTCGCCTCTTCCCAGAGCGTCCCAGAGCGGGCGGCCTCGGCAGGGCTCGGTTTTGATTTGCTTAGAAATGTCTTTGTGTCTGTTTGAAACGGTGTTTAAAAGAAGTCACCCTTCCACAGCGTGTCCTCCTGGCATTGTCCCACCAGAGAAGAGACCCCCCGAGCCCCCCGGACCGCCGCCGCCTCCTCCCGTGGCCGAAGGGGATCTCTCCGGAGCAGCCCAGGAGTTGAACCCGGCCGTGACGGCTGCGCTGCTCCAGCTCTTTTCCCAGCCCGACCCGGAGCCGCTCGGCCTCGCCTCGCAGGAGCCGCCGGCCCCGGACTACGGCCGCCCGCAGCCCGGCAGGACTTACAGCACCGACAGCTCCGAGGGGGGATTCGGTGCCGAGGAGCTCAATACTCCGGGCCAGACTCTGCTAGAACCTTCTTCTGCCCAGCCCTTGGGGAAAAGCAGGACCTTCTTGGGCTCCGTGAGCCACCTCGGGGAGAGCAGCAGCTACCAGGGCACGGGCTCGCTGCAGTTCCCCGGGGACCAGGACCTGCGCTTCGCCAGAGTCCCCGGCAGCGGCATCCACTCGTTCGGCAAAGCCGAGGGGAGCAACAGCAACGCGCTGCTACATCCAGAGGCCAAAATGCAGAGTTACAGCGAGCTGGGGCCGGGAACGGGCGGCTCCAGCGGGGCAGGAACGGGTCCCAGCTGGGGCGCCCCAACCCAGGCGCCGTCTTCCTATGGGAAGACGTTCCGAGGGCCTGGCCGAGTGCCTCCACGGGGGGGCCGGGGCCGGGGGGTTCCCTACTGAGATTCCTGGGATCCCCCCCTTGCCTCTCCTCTCCTTTAGCCACAGGACTTGATTTTTTTTTTTTTTTAATTTTTAATTTTTTTAATTTTTTTTTTTTTGTTGTTGTTTTTTTGGCCAGATCAAGGTCTCGTCCGCATTTCAGCTGCTGCAGAGCTCCCTGGGCATCCCTCCCTCGCTCAGGAGATGCCAGAGGGTCCCCCACTGGCCTCCCCTGCTTGGTTAGTGACAAAAAGAATCCCAACCCTGCAGCAAACTGAGCTAGGAGAGAGGAGGGATTGATGGAAAAGTAGGAATGGAAGGAAGAAGGAATTTTTAAAATGCTGTTTCCCCAAGCTGGGCACTGGAGTTTGCCAGTGGGTCAGGGAGGGCTGGGGGGAGGCTGCTTCCCAAAGCGGTTTTATTTTTGTTGTTGTTGTTTTGTTTGTTTGTTTTCCCCATTTTCTTAAGGAAAAAAAAAATGAAAGAACGAACGAAAAGGGGAATTTATCGATGCAGAGGCACCTGGATGGGTTATCCCAGCATGGGGACCTGGGATCTGACACTGGTTGTGTTTGATTTATCTGAGTTGCTTTCTTTTCATAAAGCATCCAGTTTTCCCTCTGCTCCAGGGCCAGTCCTGTCCCCTGTGACAGCAGCCTTAGTACATTGATTTTTGGGAAGGATCTCTGGGTGTTGGATCCCTCCTGCTGTAACTTGGCAGTGGGAATTGTCTTTTTCTTTTTTTTTTTTTTTTTTTTTTGTCTTTTGTTTTAATTTTTTTTAAGAGCCGAGGAGAACACCTCCCTGAAAACCAGGGATTTCTGCCATTTGTAACTTTCAGAACCCTTCAAGAATTAAAAAAGACGAAACAAAAATCCCAACATCTGGTGGGATTTGCCAGCAGATGGGAGTGATTTGTCCCCGGAATCCTGGGCCAGTGCTGCCCATCCTGCCGAGGTCGGTCACATCTCAGCCCTTTGAGGTTTTCCAGGTGTTCCTGTGTCATTTCCATGAGCATATTTCTATTTTTGTTGTTGTCAAGGAAGTATTTACGATGGATTTTCTCCTCCCACAGACCCTTGCGCTGTTCATTTCAATGAGACTTAAAAAGAGATGAATAAAACAAAGGTACCTATTTATCAGCTTTTTTTTTTTTTCCCAAGTAGACCTTTCCTATGGAAAACATTTAATTTTAGAGCCGACAGTTCTGGAGTGTTAAAGGGGAGGGGAATTTTGGGGTGGGCCGAGAGACCTTCTTGCTACTAACAGGATTTAATTTCTTTTTTATACAGAGAGATAAATTTAAATAAATGCACCTGAATAGGTGATGCTTCTCCACCTGGGGAGATCCTGCCTTACCCAGCTTTGCCGTGGGAGGAAGGAAGGGAGAGAAATTCAATATATAGATATATTTTTTATTTTTATTTGCTGGTGATATGCAGGGACCGGTGGCTCCCAGCACTGAGGAGCAATGCTGTTTGCAGAATTCCCACTGGAAATTTGTAGGGTTTGGGATTTTTTTTTTGTTGGCTTGATGATTTTTATTTTTTTTTAAACTTAGTTCATGCCTGATGTGCAGAGAAAAAAAGAGAAGTTCTGTGAGACACAGAGTGCACTGAACCCACCGAGAGGCTTTAGGGGGGGTTTAATTTCTCTATTTCCCCTTTTCCTGGCACCAGCTCCAGGCTGCCATGGAGCTGCTGCTGCTTTTTTTTTTTTTTTTTCTTCCCAATCCCATCCTCTTTGGAAGGAAAAGTCTCGTTCCTGTGCTGAATCCTCTTAGGAAGCTGATGCCTATTTATTGTCTCTCCAAACTGGCACATTCCCAGGAAAGCTGCCGGGAACGAGCTGAGCCCTCCTCAACCTCCTGCTCCCCATGCCGGTCTCATCCTGGCTTTGGGGCCCCACTTTGGGGTGCTTGGTCCCAGTTTGGGGCTCATCAGTCCCGGTTTAGGGTGGCCTTTCCCAGCTGGCCCAGCTCCATCTCCTGCAGCAGGGCTGGGGGCCAGCGAGGGCTCCTGTCCCCTGCCCCAGCCAGGGATGGACATTCCAGGCATCTGTTCCCTGCTCCGTGGCAGCTGCCAGCTGTCCCCAGGGCCCCTCGGGGCTCCTGTGGAAGGTGATTCCATCATTCCTTTCTCTGAGCCCCCTCCTTATTCCGCTCCCACTGGCTTTTCCTAACTGGTCCCGGCCTTTCCATCCCTGCCAGGGCCAGGGGGTCTGGGGGGAACCAGCCTGGCCAGGTCCTGGCAGGCTGTGGGGCCACTCCTGGCTTCCATCACCTCTTTTTCCTTTATTTCCCCCCACCCTTTTATTTTATTTTCGTTTAATTTTACCTTTTTCCCGATGCTCTGCACAAGGAAGACAAAAGGATTCACGGCGTTGGGTGGGATTTGTGCGTTTGGGAGGATTTAAACTGGTGCAGTTACAGACGAGGGAGTGAGGGCAGCTCCCCCCTCCTTCCCCCCAATCCTGGCTCTGGGTTCAATCCCAAATTCTCCCACTGTAGCAGTTCCCAGCAGAGAAGCCTCTGGTCAGACTCTTGCTGTACCTCTCCTGAGTTTCCTTTGGAGACCGAGCGCGCCTTTTTTTGGTTGTACCTTTGTCTCTGTACAGATATTTTGTAATATATTAAAATTTTTTTTCTTTTCAGTTTATAAAAATGGAGAAGTGGAGATTGGAAAATTAAATATTTCCTGTTACTGTATCTTGGTTGCCTTTTGCTCCGTTGCTTCCCCGTAGCCTTTGGAATCACACGGTAACTTGTGTTTTCCTTGGAAAGCCTTTTATTCCCTCCTGGTGAGAGGGGTGGGATTTGGCATTGCCAGCCTCTGCAAGCCCCCAAATTCCACTCTCTAATTAAATTCTGAGCCATCATTAGCCCTGGCTTTCCCCCTGCTCAAAGGTTGGTGGGAGATGCCCGAGCTGGAGCAGGGGATGGTTTGGTTAAGGTGAGAACAGGAACCCCAGAGCTGATGGGAGGCTGGGAGAGGGAAGGATTGAGGCTGAGATTTGGCCCCAAACCTTCTCCCAGCTCCTGGCAGCCTCTGGGTGCTGGGAAGGACCCCAGGGGCTGGATTGTGCCATGAGGGCAGGAGCAGGGAGCTGTGCCTGTGTCACCCTCCCTCCACATCAACCCCTCCGTGCCCTTTCCCTGTGCTGCTCCCACCCCCACCGTGGCTCCTGCAGGACTCAGGTCGGTTTGTCCCAGCCTTTGTGCATCGGGCAGGAATTTGGGATGGGAGCTGCTCCCGGAATCGCCTCCTTCCTGCTCACTTGAGGCTGGGACAGCCGCTCCGAGCTGAGGGGAGCTGGAGGGGCCGTGGCTCCGTGTCCGCGCCTCCATCCCCGCCGAGCCCGGCCGCCCTCTCCCGTTCCAGCCCCGGCTTTCTCGCTCTCCTTTCGCCTGGTTCCGATCCCTGCGCTGACACATCTTAAAATAAAATCCCTGTGCAGATGGCGGGGGGGTGGCGGCGGCGCCGGGCGCTTCCCGGTGCCTGGCACGGCAGGAGCGAGCCCCCAGCGCCCACCCAGAGGCTCCCCCGATTTATGGAGGGGGCAGCTGGGCCCCGTGCACTCGGCTGGATCCCTAACCCAGCCCTCCTGCTCCCTGCCCGCGGCTCCTCCGGCCTCCGGGGCCTCAGAGGGGACGCGATGCCACCCCGAGCTTCCTCCCATCCCATCCCAATCCCATCCCAATCCCACTTTCCCTCCCCGCTGCCGGCAGACAAAGCCCCACGTGGCCCCGGCTCCTGCGGCATCCCGATCCAAAGGTGACCAGGCCGTTTTATCCCGTTTAATTTATTTTGGCATTGAACTTCCTCGGCAGCAGCTGCCGTGCCAAATGGCCGGGGGGCTGCCCGCTGTAAATCTCTCCGGCGTTCGGCTCTTCCCGCTTGGATTATTCCCATGTCTGCTCCATCCCGACATTCCTGGCTGCTCCATCCCACCCTTCCCAGCTCCATCGGCTCGAAATGTGGGATCTGGCACCGCTCTCCTTCCTCCTCATCCTCGCAATGCCCTCACGGCGCTGCGGTTGTGGTGGTGGCAGCGTCCATCGCATTCCGGAGGATCCTTGGAGCGGGGATGAAGATGGAATGTGAGGAGGAGGAGGAGGAAGACGGGGCCTTCCCATGGAGCAGATCCCCGCGGGCCACCCTCATCCCACGGGATCCTGTAGGAATTTCCACCTGGAACAGGCCTCGCACCTTCCGGGCGGGTGCGCGCGTGTGCCAAGGTGCGCGCACACCTGCGGTGGCACACGCGTGTTCACACGTGTCCGGGGGCGGGGGGTGACTGTCACCAGGTGTCGCTCTCGGCACGGCCACCACCTCCCACCGCGTCCCCGTCCTCCTCCTCCTCCTCCTCTCCGGCTATATTTGTCCTTCCAGCTGCTCCGGCTGTCGGCATTAAAGGTTTTTCATCCAATTTAGACGTTTCCTTCCAAAAACCCGTTCACACCTTTCGCTGGCATTTGGAAAGGGGAAAGAAGAAAAGGACTGAGAAGGATAAAACCACCCAAAAAAAAACCCAAAAAAAACCAAAAAACCCTTGGAGGTGCTGGAGGCCGCGGGTGGGGGATGGACGAGGTGTTGGGGTTCAGTTTTGGGGGGAAAGATGGGGACATCCTCATCTCACGGCGCCCTGCATTTCCCATCCCTTGGCATCAAGATGCCACATTTTGAGGGCACGGGTGGATTTTGGGTGGCAGCACAGGCACGGATGGGGTTTGGTGGGCACGGATGGAGCGTGGATTCCTTGGGCATGGGGGGGGAGGTGACACAGTCCCTGTGCCATGGGGCCACCTGGCCCTGTCCCCTCGCACCGGCAGCTTGATTAAAGCGGCGGCGCGGGCGGTGGCACAGCTGGTGCCTCCTGCCAGCACCCGGAGCGGGAAGCGCCCGCCATTAGCGGCTCCAATTAGCGAGAACGCGGAGCCACCGCGGCCCGGGGGGGTCCCCAGCCCCGGGTGCCCCCCGGTGCCACCTCCCAGGGCATCACCCACCCCGCGTCCCGGTGCCCGCAGTGCCCACGCTCCTGTGCCGCTCTGCCCAGCCAGGGCTGAGCGCGCCTCGGTTTTGGGGACATTCCTGCCACCAGATGCCACCTGCCACACGCGGCCTGTGGGAGGGGGGACAGGCGGGGCGGCTCCACCCCACCGGGCACCGGGATGGGGACAGGGCCCTGGCAGGAGCTGGCACCGCGCTCCGGGCGGGCACATCGCCCTCCCCGCTGCCACCGGCGCAGCTGAGCCAAGGCGCGGGGGGGCCGCGCCTGCACGCTTTCACCTGCCATTTAATTGGATGTATTTTTAATTAATGGCGCCTCTGGGACCAACATGAGACAACATGATCTCTGAATAGGGGCAGGGGAGGAATTGGGGCCGCGGGAGGATTGGGCCGCCGGGTGCCCTTACGAGCCAAACGCTGCCATCAATCACCCCCTACTTTTCGGCTCTGGACTTTTGGCTGGGGCTCAAGGCGGGCGCCAGGGCCACCCCCGCTGCCGCCTGGCACTCGTGTGACGAGCGGCGCGTCCTCAGCAGCTCTCGGCGAGGAAGTTTTTCCCTTTCGCCAGCAAATCCTGCCCCCAAATCTGCTCTTGGGACCATCCCTGGGTCACAGGAGGCATCTGGGGGGCTCCCAACCCCTCTGTGCCCTCCCCGCCGCGAGTGCTCTCGGTGTGCCACCATCGTTGTTTTGTCCCTCCCTCCTGGCTCTGGGGAGGGGACACAGCTGGGTCTGGCATGTCCCCCCCACCTTCTGGCACAGCCCGGGGGGGGCCCGGCCGGGCGGTGGTGCCGGGGCAGCTGCCCGAGCCCCGGAGGGGCGGCGGGGCTCGCCCGTGGCAGGTGCCGAGGCACAATGTAGGGCAGCATTAATATTTAGCGACACTGGGGGGTGGCACAGCTGCCTCCTGCGCTGGAATGCAGACGGCAGCCAGCGGGGACGGCGGCCACCACTGCCACCACACCCCTGAGCCACCACTGCCACCACAACCCCGCCTTGGCCACCACTGCCACCACAACCCTCGGCCACCAGGGCCACCACTGCCACCACACCCTGAGCCACCAGGGCCACCACACCCCCTCCTTGGCCACCACTGCTGCCACCATGGTCCCCACAGCCCCGTGCACCCCCAGCCTGCCCAGAGAAACGGGGGGCACATCACAGGGGGGACATAGCCCCCACAGATCCCAGCTCTTGGCACAGAGGAGGTGGAGAGGGTGGTGGCCAAACTCCAGGCCCTTGGAGCCACCGGGGGGGACATCAGGGGGAGAGGAAGATGCTGGGGAGAGGAAGGTGTTGGGGGTCCTGACCTGGCTGTGCCGTGACCCTGGGCTGGCTCCCCAGTGCTGGGGCCACCAGCCACAGTGCCACCATGATGCCAGGGTGATGGTGGCACATGGTGGCCTTGGTGGTGTCACCAGAGCCCAGCCCTGTGCCCTGTGACACTGGTGACAGCAGCCATGGCTGGAAGGGTCAGACCCATCTTGTCTGGATGCTCTGCCAGGAGCAGGAGGGGCCTGTGCCACCAGCCCTTCTGCCTGGTGACTGCTGGTGGCATGTGAGCCCTGGGGTGGCCCTTGCCATGGCCAGACCCTCACTGTGGCCAGACCCTCACTGTGACCAGACCCTCACTGTGGCCAGATCTTTGCCATGCCAGAGCCCTCAGCGTGGCTGGACCATCACCACAGCCAGACCCTCACCATGACCAGACCCTCACCCTGCCCAGACCCTCATCATGCCCAGACCCTTACTCTGCCCAACCCCTCGCCCTGCCCAGACCCTCATCCTGCCCAGACCCTCACCCTGCCCAGCCCCTCGCCCTGCCCAGACCCTCATCCTGCCCAGACCCTCATCCTGCCCAGACCCTCGCCCTGCCCAGACCCTCATCCTGCCCAGACCCTCATCCTGCCCAGACCCTCACCCTGCCCAGCCCCTCGCCCTGCCCAGCCCCTTGCCATACCTGGACCCTCACCATGGCCAAACCCTCCCCACGCCCACATCCTCCCCAGCCAAACCCTCCCCATGGCCGGACCCAGGCCCTCACCACGGCCATCCCCTGCCCGTGCCCGGCCCCTCCCCGGCCGGAGCCTGTCGGTGGTGCCCCGGCGGTGCCCCGGCAGTGCCCGGGCGGTGCGGGCGCGGTGCGGGCGCGGTGCGGGCGGTTGATTAGCGTGATTCCGGCATTGTGATGCAGAGGCGGTCGGGGCACCAGCTGCTCCTGCCCGGGTGTTTATTGTTACCTAGAGACGCCCCTGGCTCCCGCCCAGCTCCCCCCAGCCCCGCACGATGCAAAATTTATAGCGCGGCGGGTCCCGCGTTAACTCTCTGCCTCCCGGGCGGGGGGAGGCTGCGGAGCCCCCCGGGATGGGCACGGCCGGGGGGCAGCGCCGGGGCTGGCACGTCGGGCGGTGCCACACGGGTGATGCCAGGCTGCACCGTGCCATATCACACCGTATCGTGTCATGCCACCGTGCCGTGCCGTGCCGTGCCAGCGGAGCCCCAGGCCTGCAGCACGGCGTTCCCTGCGGAGTCCGTATCCATGGCACGGCTAATCCTCCGGCCGGGCACGGAGCCAGCCCGTCCGCGGTGCCCGCCGGCTGCCAGCCCGGCTGCTGGAGAGGAGGACACAGCCCCGGCTACCCCTGTCCCGGCCGGGCCGTGCCGTGCCGTGCCGTGCCCGCATGTCCCAGAATGTCAC